ATATATATATATATATATATATATATATATATATATATATATACATACACAGTATAATGCTGATATAGTGAATAATGCTTACCATGGATGCCAGCACAGGTGGCGTTGCAGCTTTCACTGTCAAAGAATCTGTTCCCGTTCCCAAGGCATCCGGTCCAAATGAACTTTTTGCACTTGTCTCGAGCTGAGTCGTAGTAGTATCTCAAGAAGTTACCATTGCACGTACCAACGGCATGCTTAAAGTGACAAGCTGCAGTTTCTGCAGACAAGAAAACATCATTTAGTCAAATTAAAACTTATTGTTCTTTGTCTTCACCACTGGGTGGTGCATTGATGTCACTTAATGTTGACTTGATTTTGGATGAGACTAATTATTTGTGAACATTTATAAAAAAAACTTTAATGATAATAATCCCACTTGACATGACAAGCTAGTGGAAAAAGTTGTCTTCTCTGAAATCTTGTTGCTTCTCTGCCTGATTTCCAGCTTTGCTGCACCAAAAAAAAGGCTTCATGCAGCTGCTTTGTGGCTTTTAGGCCATAAAACTCTTATCAGCCACTTCACGCTCCAAAGTCCACCAACAGCATAAAAGAAAGCCTTTATGTAAAATCTGGCTTCAGCAACTTATAGGCAAGCTTCAGTTCACACATTTACCACCTACAACGATGGTGAAACCACTTAATGTTCTCCGTGTAAATGATCCTCTCACCATCCATGGGGTAGATTTTCTCTGCATTGGGCGAACAGTTCCTCATGCACTCTCTTTCATTGTTAAAGCGGTTCTCGTTTCCACCCTCGCCCGTGTAAAAGAAGGGGCTGCACCGATCCTTCTCAAAATCGTAATAAACTGCAAAGATGAAGCTGGTGCCATCGCCTGATTTAGAGGGCGCTTTACAGAACGCTGTTGGGCGAGAGAGAGAGAAAGTTCAGGTGACATTTTATTTGCAGCTCCAGGTGATGCCATTCTTTACACGGTTTCTGTAAATTACACGTTGAAGCAGGAGTCATCAGCAGACACATTACTAATGTTTAACCACCCCACTCCCTTTTTTTATTACAGCAATAAAAACAGCCAGTTTCAGTCTTATGGAAAGGAAGCAGTTTCAAATGACTTTTTATTTTTATGCATACGCTTTATTTTGGCGGGACACTTACTTTTTAAACATATTAATTAACTAAGAAATGGCACATTTTTCAAATTAATAATCTGGAGCAAGAGAAAATAGGGGCTTTTTCTCACAAGGTGATTTGAAGTTTTAGGTCAGTTCCCTTTTTTGCGCTCACATGGAAACAATCACAGAGTTTATAAGTTTGCAATTACAGAGAACAGAAACTTCGACTTAGCTTACCATAACAAACACAAACATAAAGATCATTTCCACCATAAACACCATCGTTTCAGCTTCATGTTGACAAGAACATACAATCAGAAATTATGAAAAAAACTGCTTTCAGCCGTGGAGTTTTCTGTCTGGATTTTACCTCTGAGAAATATAAAAACCACCAATCTGTTGCTGGATAAGTTGCCATGTTGTGCTAAAAAGCTTTAACGCTTCATTCTTCAGTAAAACAGCTTAAATTAGCCCGTGTAAAAATAGAAAATCATCATTTTGCACCTGACACAAGCTCATGCGCTCATCAGTTAGCCTACACGAAGTAAAGCTGAAATCTGTATAAACTGACACCGCTTTGAATTTAGGTGTCACTTGAGAACAAGTAAATGTAATCATACACACCTGGAGTTTCTGAGTAGATGATGTGAAGTGCTGACAAAACAATCCCTAAAACCAGTAAGTTCTTCATGCTGCTGCTTGTCTTCTCGCTGCCCTTCCTGAAGTGTGTGAGGGTGATAAACTACAAAGGGAGTGGGCCCTAATGACTGACCTTTAGACCAGTGTTTCGCTAATGAAGTTCTTTTGTCAGTCGAAACAGAAATTAAAGGCAGTTCCAGTTCCAGTTCTTCCCTTTAGCTCGACTGGAATGTCAGACCAAGATCCAGAAACGTGGCTTTATTCTGTCAGTTCCCCCACTCCCCTCAAGGTTTATTATGAGTGACCATAACATCCTAAATAATTTAACAACATGGTACACAAAGAACTTCTTACAGGACACAAATGAAGGGCAAATAAGGAATAAACTCCTAGTTAAGCAACATTTAGTGATTCCCATTAAAAAAAAAAAAGTTTCATTGCGAGTCTGACAATGTTCAGTCAGCTCATCTGGACGGTTTCTTTTCTTTTCTTTTTTTTTGCTGAGGCGTTTCGTCCTTCATCCAAAGGACTTCTTCAATCTGAGGAGCCACCAAACAAACCCACACTCCACTCTGGGAGTGAGCTGCTTGTGGGACCCAGTTTGTTTGGTGGCTCCTCAGACTGAAGAAGTCCTTTGGATGAAGGACGAAACTCCTCGGCAAAAAAAAAAAAAAGAAACCATCCAGATGACCTGACTGAACATTGTTTAATGATGACCAGTTAACCAGTGACTACAGTGATGGGTACGTTACAGCCAGTTATAAACTGCTGCCGTTTGTTTAAATATTGTTTAGATGTAAATACTTTTGGAAAAAATAAGTAACTTATGCTTATCTTCTCATGTTTTCTGATGCATGTGGTGCTGGAGGGACATGGATATTCATGTACGTGTCACTGTGTGCCTTCTAACTGTTTATTCATAACTGACTGTATATTTCAATCATGCTGACAGTAAATCTGGAGATATAATATGATTACTGTAGTTTTTACCTATAGAGCCTCGATGACTGTATGAAGCTGTACAGCTTTATGATGTTAGTGTCCAACAGTGTGGACATGTTGGACTCCATTTGGACAATTAGAAATATGCATGGACATACTCTTATAAAAAATGTCCAGAATATTCATTTTGGTGCTATTGTTACCAAATTTGAATTGATGCTGCAGCCTCGTATCATTGTACAGTCCATCTCTTCATATACATAAACATAAATAAATATTTACAAAATTTCAGATGAGAAAAAAACAATGATGTTTATGTGTTTCAGTTTTAATAACTATATGCTAGTTTTACTCATTCAACCTTTATTTAGACAGGTAAATCCCATTGAGCCTCGAGGACTCATTTACAGTTTCAATATGTCTGATATAAATTCAGTGTTACCTTTACAGAGAGACCAAGCTTTTGAATTTACTCCAAAGGGTTGAAGAACGGGATTTAATTTAATTTGGGTACATTCATTCAGGTGCTTTCCGTGTTTTGTGGGGCAACATTTAACAGGTTAATTAATTACAAAGTATTATATCATAAGCAAAAGATGATAAATTACATTTCTAAAACATTTAATGCTGGCATCCATTGTTCAAAACATTTATTATTCTAAATTACACATCATTAAAAAAGATTGAATCAGTTACATTTGACACAAACTGAAACAAGATGAAGCTTTTTTCTTTGTTTTACATGAAAGTGAACACATCGTTACTTGTTTTATGAGTTTTTATTTCCTATGTTTATGTGTTGGGCCGTTCTGAAATAAGAACAAGATTTATCTTTGGCCTTTTAATTTAAACAAAATAAATTTAAATGTGTTGGTTTTGATACAGAGCAGTGATTTTCCGTTAAGCTGAGAGTCCAGAGGGAAAAAAAACTGAAATATGACAAGAAAAGCAGCATTTTTTTTATATTTTGCTGCATGTCTTTAATAGCATAACGTCAAGCTTAGATTAGCTAAAAGCTAAATTAGCTATAGATGAGAAGCAAAATGCAAGTTGAAAGTAGCCGAACAGTATAGGTAAAAACTAAAAAAGGACAAAAACAGAGGAAGTGTATGGTGTTTTTGAAGGAAGTGAGGAAATTTCAGTGTGTTTCTATGGAAAATATTATGGGTAAGCAAAGTTAAATATGAAGGTTACAAAACACAAAAGTTATAGAACCCATTCCTCTGGAGGAAGTGAACATTTTGATGAATGGCCAAAATTGCACAAATTACATCACAAAATATGAGATAAGATCTCAAAATCCATAGAGAAAAATAAAAAAACAGTAAAACTATGATATGAATGCAGAATCAGCATTATCTCCAAACTGTATCAGAGGGTGCACAGCATCTGTAGCAGGTCTCTACAAACACCTGACAGAGTTGGGCTGGATGTGCTCCTCCTCTCAGCTCCAGCCCTCCCTCTGCAGACCCGAGGTGCAGAACAGAAATGAGAGGTTTTGTTTCTGGTCCCTGCTGTGCAGCTGCCACCCTCCGGTGACTTGATGCCTCTGACGGCTCTGTTGTTGCTCTGACGTCAGACAACAAGAGTATAAAAAGGCTCTTTTTGTTTGGTTTGAGCTCTGAACGGGTCAGTCACCAGCCTGACTGCACTGAGGGAGTGAAGATGCACAGATTGAGCTGCACTCTTGTGCTGCTGCTCACTTTATTCAGCGCACTGAGGGGTAAGATCGCATCTGAGTGCCAAAACAAGCAGTCTGCATCCTTCTGCAGAGCATCAGATGTGTAACCAGAACAATATTATCGGAAAATGATCATTTTCAATATTTTAATTTGTTGAACAAATGTAAACTGGTTTTTTTTCAACGTAAAGTTTAGCTGAACTACAACTTTTTGTCTGTTTCAGGTGCCAAATGGACATATAACGGTAAGCCTGATATTATTTTCCTCACTGTGTTGCTTTTATATTTTAACTGTTGCGAACTTTCACTCAGTCTTTTTCATTGGAATTTGTCTCCTAATTAGCAAGCTCTGCACCGCCCCACGAAAACAAACACTTTTATAAAACTAAAACGGGTAACCATTAAACTAAAAATTCTGATAGAACATATAGAATAAAAAAACAATTTGGAAAGAAAACTTTTTCAACTTTTAGTGACTGAAGCATTAAAGATAAAACACGTGTCAGGAATGCATTTGATGCACGACTCTGTGGGAAATAATACATTTTGACAGAATATTGTTGTTTTACTCTTGCGTTGCTTGTACACATCAGCATGTCAAATAGGAAGAGAGAAGTGGGGAAATGTGTCAAATATAGCACTTCATCGTTCAAAAGAAAGAAAACAAACTGTGTGTGAGTCAGCAGGACCAGCACTGACATCACCCCCATCGCCTCATGTTATTGTTGTTGGAGCAACATTTCGTTAGTGGTTGACTGCCGTTTTCTCGTGCCTTAAGCTCTAAAGACTTCTCGACTCATGACTCTCTCACTTACATAAACTGTGGTCGCACCACGACCTTTTCTCTCTGTGTCACCGCCGCCTCGTACACGTCCTCTTCATTAAAGACCGGATCATAAAACTGAAATGAAATTTTGGAGCAGGTGAAGCACCTGGAAGAGGAATAGTTGCAGTTACACTCTCCATTTCTCGTCAGTATTTTAAGGTCAAATGATTGAAAAACTCCTCCAGAACAGGTTTACCAACTCTGTTTTTAGATTGTACCACGAGTGGGGATTTATTGAGTGGAAGTTGATTCACATTCAGTGTTTTCTTTATTATTTTTTTTGTACATTTTTGTCAATCTAAATATGTCCTTTGTTCTCTTTTAGCCATTTATGTATGAAAATGTTTCCTTCAAGAGAATAGCTCAAAAACTCTTGTTCTTGCATATTTTGTTCTTTTAAAATAGTTCATTATGATACAAAAGTTCACTGCACTGAAAAAGAGATTTCCTCATTTCATTCCAAAACACAGTTCTCTTTGACATCTGCATCAGGAGTATTTGGTTGATTTTCGTCTTCTTAAGCTACTTTTAGATTTTAGGGGTGCTGCCGTTCCTCGGTGGTCCATGCTGCGGTCTCATATCCCTAAGGCTGCAGGTTGGAGGCCAGGCTGGTCAGGAAGGGCATCCAGTGGTGACATCTGGAGCAGCCAAAAGACAAAAATCAAACACGCTACTTTTAATTTTAAGCTACTCTGCTACTTTTGGTGAACTTTTTTTTTTAGCAAATCTAGCAAAGTTAAGTCAGGTCCTCTGGATGGATTAAAAAAAATCAAAATCAAAAACTTGTTGAAATTTTAAATGCTGTGATCAGTCTTACATGGGGGAAACTAAACAGCCACTGGACAAAAGGATGGCCCAGCACAGAAGATCAACACCATGAAGCCAGGGCTCTGTGGTCTACCTCTGCAGGCAAGAGGTCACTCTTTCAGAGAAGATGTTCACATCCTTGATAGAGAGGAACGATGGTTTGAGAGAAGAGTAAAGGAGGCCATCTTTGTGGAGAGAACCCATCCATCATTAAACAGGGGTGGAGGCCTCCGCATCCATTGTCATCTTCTTACTGTTATTGCTAGTATCACTCAGCCCTCTGTGAATAGCAAGCGGCCATCAGGGTGCTAACGTTAGGCTACTGTTCGTTAGGCTGATGGTCCTCATTTATCATGTGAACAGCTAGTTTTGGATGTCCACAACAAACTGGTTGATCCACTGAGAAGGTGCTATTCATAAGACTAAGTTTACTGCAGCTCCTCAGACTGAAGAAGTCTTTTGGATTAAAGATGAAACGTTTCAACAAGTTTTTTTTTTTGTTAATCCATCCAGAGGAACTGACTTAACTTTGTTAGATTTTTCTACCTAGATTATTGAGCATGCATCAGGATATTTTTAGCATCTTTTAGCTAGCTTTTAGCTGCTTTAGGCTTTTAGGTTGTGTTTTGTTATTTTGAGCCTTAAGATAATGTTGTGCGTCTTGTAGCTGAAACAACCGTTTCTGTTTCTTCTACAAATTTTAGCAAAATCACTTAAAAACGCATGGTGTGTGTGTGTGTGTG